ACAATAACTTCGAAACATGGTGATATGTCACCAAATGTGGCTAATAGCACGTTGAATGATTTTTTTAATGATTCAGATTCGGATGGATTTCTTCTCGAAGCAACACAGCAAATAGAATCTAAAATACATCTTCCAGTTACAGGCACAGATAGTGTTGTTGGATGTGTTATAAGTAACTGCACTGAACTAAGAGATTTAGCATCAGAAGCAAATAAAACCTCTACTTCCATTGAAAAACGATCATCATTATATGAGAAATTTTTGGAGGATGATTCACCTGATGACTGGTTCACATCGTTAGACGATGTCATTGAGCAAGCTATCCAAGCAAAAAAGCCACGTAACTCTTTACAACGATATAAATCTATGCCGACTGAAGCCAGTTCCTTAACAATACCTCAGAAGACATCAAAAAATGTGAAAAGTACAAAAATATCCCCAACAATAGTGCAGTACTCAAATCCTGCAGTATCAAGACAAACGGGGCATAAAAGTATTACCACAACCACCGATGTCTCGAAATTTAAGCGACATGCCAGTAGTAATACAATACCATCCGGTTCCAGATGTAAGTATTTTTTAAATTATTTTTTAAATATTAAATACTATCATTACCTTTCTATTCGTCACAGAGCTTGACAGGTTCTAGTAATTGTATTGTATGAATACCTAAAGATTGTTTAATATGGATAACGCAAAGGTATAATCAAAAAAGTATTAATAACATTTTATAATATTAATACGAGGATACATTTTTAAAACAGTTTTTTTATTTTACAGATTGTTCTTTTAAAAACAGTTGCTTTAAATTGATTTACTCAACAGTTATTCAAAAATTATAGTTGCCAGATAACAATCGTTTGCGAATTATTTAAACACAAAATTGCTTCCAGTTGATTTACTCATCACTTATTTACTAAGTATCGTTTGCAACACAATATAAACACAAAATTGCTTCCAATTGATTTACTCATCACTTATTTATTAATCATCGTTTGCAACACAGTCAGGATACAGGCTTGTATACTATATATTAAAATTATAACGCTTAGCTATAAGCTATTCAGTCAGTAACTATTTGTAGGTTTTAAAAATCTATCTATGTATGTAATTTAATGCTGGTTATTTAATGCGACACCTTAACACTGAAAAAAAATAATAGTTTTATATGCTAAATATTCAAAGTACAAGAACATTAAAAGTGAGAATCATTCGTTAAAAAAATTCTAATATATAAGTTTATAAGTCAGAAAAATTTAAAGTCAAGTACATTCTATATTCCATCAATATTTATTTTTTTATTCTTGCTCGTGAACATCGATCAGCGTTGATTTGAAGAACATAAGTTGTGCTTTCATTATGATAGATTTATAATTATTTTTGTGATAGGACTTAGGCTGCCATTAAATTGCATGCCAATTTTGTCTTATCATAGACTTAATCATTCCAGAACTCGTAAATGCTTTCTACAACTTTTCAGCACTAAAGTTCATATTGAAATGCATATATTAAAAGAATTTCTAGTTAACTTTTTTTGATTTTATTTTTGTTGTTAACGATTTATGTGAAAGTAATAAAAAACTGCCTTGGCTTTTTATTTCTAAGTTAGTTTATATACATAACTTAAGCAACATAATTAATAATATTAAATCTATACTTCTAAGAGCTATTGTTATGTTTTGGTCTATTTTAGGTGAAATTTTATCATTAATTTTTCCTAGTTCTTCGAATATCTCTTTGGATTTGTTTATAATGGCAAGTTTATTTCTATTGTTGATATCTTCTTTCATATTCCTGCATATTTAATAATGTCCATTGCTTGACATCTTTGAACTGATAGTAATGGACAATGTTCAGTTTCGACCACGTAATATCAATACATGTTTTTTGTTCTTGTTTTCGAATGTTAGCTGTACTGTTGTGTTATTCGTTGAGCGATTCAATATCTACTGACTATTAAATAAAATACAAATGTTACTATAGGAGTGCGTACACATGCACCTACATATAAGTACCATATGTATGTACATGTTTATACAATATCTCCCTCTTTAAGCTGACAATAAAGTTTTAATTAATATAATTCAAAATATAAAAATACATTTCGTTTACTTATTAGATTTATATTAAAATTTATAATATGAAAGGACTTATTTAGACATTTTGAGTTCCATCGCAGAATAGTACTATCCAATGAGAATGGATGCGCATCTTCAATTTCTGCCTTAACTCAATTCTATAAACTGTCATGATATCATACATTCGATTGATATGTTGCTTCGCTTTTACCAGTAAATCTTCAGGCACTCTATTTTTTTTGCTTGTTTTTTGGCGAACCTACACTGAGGAATATATCTGTTTCTGATTCCTTTCTAAATAATTGTAGACAACCTTCTGATATGTTTATGATATGCATAAATTCCTGTAAATCTTTAATTTGTGTAGTATTTTCTTTTTATTTTTATCATAATATTGGGGTACAAAATCGGCTATTATATATATTTAACTAGAGCATGTGGAATTTTATAAAAGCTTTTTTGCATTCTTTCGACTAACGGTTTAAGTTCTCTTCCTACTTGAATTCGTCCACCATAAATATAATAATGAAACTTATGGCGTGCATAAAAAATCTCTGCCAGCAATTTTTCCACTTCTGCATAATTGATTTCAATATCAGCAAGGCTTCTCAAAGCAAATGCTACGGGTTTTCATTCCGCATCAGAAAATTTCCAAAATAAGTATTACAAAATGTATAAGCACTAGATTACCTTCACCATCTGTCTTTGCAATGCCATGAGCCACACCGAAACTTTTTTTTTGGATTTCATAGTATCTCTTCCTTAGAATAGTAAATACATTTTAATTATTACGCCTTTATTTAATTGTGCAATTACAAATTCTACAATTCTAAGGAGAAATTATTTAAGAACCCATTTTCTCTTCACCTTGTGTTAAATACAACATATTGTGTACATTGTATGTTACACTTTCCACTCCATAAAGTTTTGAGAAAAAAATTTCAAAATCTTGTAGCATAATCTGTATATTATCTAGATTGAACATGTACATTTGTGGGCAAGATAGCATACGATACGCCCAACTGAATAAAAAAAAATGATAACATACGTTATCACTGAGAATATTTTTAAAAAATATAATTCCGGTGTACAATGTAATTGTTCTCAGCTCAGTCGCTTTCAACTTTTTAAAGTCTTCCAAATTTCTTGGTTTTCTGGCAAATTCTGAAGGCATATATATATGGTGGGACGTTGGGACAGCGCACTGTCCAACAAGTGGCCTCACTGAAGTGAAGGACTAGTCGAAGTAGACCACGAAACGACTTGGGTCCTTTTTCGTCCTTCGATTCTTGGATGTTGTTATTGAGTTAAAGCTGGAGTGGCTTCCGTTCGCATAACTACATCTTTTGTTAATGCAAGCATCTCATTTAGCTTGAGGTTTCCTGCCAAGTCGTCACCAACCCAATGGTGTCCCAAGACAGTCTTCCTCCTACTTGCCAGTGCTGGACATTGGCACAATATATGCACCGCTGTCTCCTTTTCTTCTAGACATAGTCTGCAAGTGTCTTCCTCAGCAAGAGTTATCTTTTTGAGGTGATACTTGAAGTTGCCATGTCCAGTAATTAGTGAGGTCAGCCAGCTTAGAGTGCTCCGCGAATAGCTAAGCACTTTTATCGGTTCCCTGGCCCACGGTTTAGGTAACATGAGTTTGGTCTGTCTACAAGTGCTCAACTCTCTCCATCTATTAAGATGAAGTGAGATTATCCACTTATTGACATAGGCTGCCGTCATGCTGTACCCCAATGGTATTCTGGGCTCCGGGCCACAGAAATTATGGCTTGATCCTTGCTTTGCAAGTTCATCTGCCTTCTCGTTTTGCTTAATACCGATGTGTCCTTTAACCCACATGATCGTCATCTCATTTCCATGAGCACATTCCATGAGCTTCGTTACACATTCTTGTACTAAGCTGTTAGTTATGTATGTCTTTTGCATGCTTTTGATAACTGCTTGGTTGTCCAGCGCTATCAGAATCTTTTTCTGATATACCTGACAATCCAATAGGTGATCCAGAGCATGTGAGACCGCCATAAGTTCCGCTTGATAGACGGAAACATATATTCCTAGATGTAGAGTGCACGTTAGATTTAGCTCTTTCGAGTAAACCCCAGCACCAGCTCTGCCATCCATTAAGGAGCCATCGGTAAATATGCAAATGTCATTCCTTCCACATACATTATGTAGAAGGCCGTCTACTATCAGTGTTCTGTAGGACACTTCTGTCCCATAAACCCTCCTCATAGTCTCCAATGGCATCTGCGTTTCCTTGACCGCGGCCTGGACGAGATCAAGAATCTTACGATGACCCACTAATTTTCCGAAGTTGTTCTACGTGGAGCTTCTGAAGGCATACTTCCAACCAATGGATGTTGTTTTTCCAACAAAGTACCCTCTAGTACAGCTGAAAATGGTGTTCTTCTTAATACATAAGTGTAAAAGATGCATTGGATGCAATGGAAATTGAGATATCATACCAAATCCGATACTTTCCAGAGAATGTGGATTATTTTCAATGTATAACTTATAAAAGCTTATTATTATTATTATTATGACATGTTCTTCATTAAAAAAAAATTAAATTTAGAACTTAATCTATTCACAAATAGTTGTTATAAAATTCCTCCCTTCGTCTCTATTTTTGGCAGCAAAACGTAACTGATTAAAGGCTTTTTTTTTTGTTTCGGTTGCCACTGTTCTTCGCCAAGTGGTTTTGGGACGACCTCATCTCGTTACTCCTTGCGGGTTCCATTCCATGACCGCGTGGGCAATTGCATCTGTCGGCTTTCTAAGTATGTGGCCGGGCCTTCCATATTTACGTTTCTGAATTTCTTTCTCTATTAGCTTTTGTTTGATGCGCTGCCATAGGTCTTCGTTGGAGACTATTGCAGGCCATCATATGTTCATAATACGCCGCAAGCTTCTATTAGGAAAGTTTATATCTTTTGAGTCGACGCATTCGTTAGCGACCATGTTTCGCACTCATGTAATAATGTCGATTTTACGCAGGCGTTGAATATTCTGATCTTAGTTTCGATGCTTACATTTTTGGCTTTTAGACTTTGTTAAGCCACGCGAAAGAGCCATTTGCCTTTTTCACTCTGCTGTCGATGTGCTTTGACGTGTTAAATGTTGTATATCGTACGCTGCTCATTAGGAACGCAAGTATAGGAACATCGCATATAAATAATTTTATTCGAATAGGTATAGTTTTGCTATCATATACTCCTACGATAAAAATACTTGCTGTTTCAAAATTATCTCCTTGTGTAAGAATAAGTCACAATAATAGCTTTGAACTTCTAAAAAATGTCAAGCCATCGACATTTATATTTAGTACCACTTCATATTGTGGTAATCCTTTAAATTTTCATAACTCTTCGTCACCAACAAAGTGATAATATTTACCTGGCGCAACAGTCCTAATAATTATTTTGGTTCTACTGACTAATTAAATTTTTTGTGTGATTCTTTTATCTTCATTTTCTTCATCTAATTCATCTTCTACCTGGACTGTATTCTTCATACCAATATTGCAATTTTTCCCTGTACGTATAAACATTATTTGAGTGGAAATCATTATTACAGGTCAACTATACTGCAGGAAGGTATTGTCTCCGAACTAAAACTTCTTACATCATTTTATATAAAATAGCTTGATAGATTACTAAAGATTGATATCTGTTAGTACCTACAGTTCTAATTATAGGTGAACACTAATAGGTGTGTTTCACTATCCTTGGTGACTGTTTTGTTACTTTATCTTAATGCGTAAGTGTTCTAAGATCAGCATATCTTCCTTCGGTTTGAATGCTTTGTCTTTGGAGAGATGAGAGTGTGGGGTTTGTGTGGGTATCGATCTTTATAAAGAGTTTTAATGCTTTATCTCGGATGTACTGCTTAACTGATTTTATCTACAGGTCTTTTTTATCTATAGGTATTTTTCTTAGAGTTTTATTCTGGCATCTTTGTATTTGTTCTATTATAGAATTGGGGGTTTTACCAAAGGCTACACAACCGTTTAATAGCGCGGGTTTGATTACTGCGGTGTATACAACAAATTTTATTCTTGATGCTCAATCTGCGGTCAAATGGTTGGTTTAAAGTTTAATTCACAATTATTTAGATTTTAAAAATTAAAATATTTTTACCGCACTAATATGACGCGCTACATTCAGAATGGCCCTGCCGCAGTAATACTACTTTTCTTTTCGGTCATCCTGATAATCGTCGTCTGTCTCAGCTGACAACAATTCCGCATTCGCCTCGGCGTATCTCTCCAGTTTTATATTGTGTAAAATAATTGCTTCAAACACTTAATATTTGTTTATAATTTTATTTATGTGTTGAACTTTTAAATATTACAATATATAAATGTATGTGTTGCACTATTAAATATTATAAAATATAAATGTAGACGAATGTTTATACCG